TTGGACGCCCGGTACGCCTATGAAAGGACCGTGTGCTCGACATAGAACATAAGACTCCTCTTCACCACCGTCCTGTTCTTGCTCGCTGCCGAAATCCTCAATCGCAGACTCTGTGCTCGCAGAGGCAGCCTCCCCATCCTCGGAATTTCTCACACCGGCTTCGATCCGTCTTGTTTATTTTCTCCTCGCAACCGTCCGTCCCCTTCGATTTCCCCATCGCACACTACCGACTGAAAATCCGAAACTTTCCTCGTTCTATTTGGCAGCAAGTTCGCTTTGGCTTCTATTCAATCCGAGGACTCACAAGCCACTGGCCATGGCCTGACCGTCGAGAGGCGAAGCTGAACTGACGTCATCTGTACCCGATCTTCCATTCATCACTTCAACTTTGGGCACTTTCTGTCCATCCATCGAGATATCCCATTCGGGTACCTTTTGAGCTCTCACAGCACTATATACCCCATGTACCCACCCCCTCGCTCAACGCTCAACGGACTCAACGGAAGGACTGTAACGCCTCCAGCAAAATCAGGCGCGGCCTTGGGCAATCAACTCCACCTCATGACGATTCTCTGAGGTTTTCGCGTACTCAAACCTGTTCATTCGCCAGTCAATATTGGGTGGGGTAGATTGGGGTTCTGTGTGCCCCTAAATGCAGTCCCACGACGTACGCGAGGCCGACGATAGCTACCGATCGACAGAAGTGGAGTGCAGCGACGTCTGGTGGAGCTCGAGCAGCGGTATGTGTCCTACTTTTCCTTACTTCAAGTGCTCATGAGTCGTCATTCGGCGGCAGGTAGAAGAACATGGGCCCCCGTCAAGCCTCTCGTCCCTGGGTCTATCCCGCACTTGTGATTCAAGAGCAGCACTCAAGTTCAACTACGACGCGTGTGGAGCACTGCATCCTGTGATCCCCGTTCCTTCTCCAAATTCTTGACGTTTTGGGCCGGCGGCCGTTGGCGGCTCCGCACGGCTTTCTCCCATTGGGGAATGAAACTTGTGGAAAAAGGTATGTTTTCCCACCCCATCGAATCTCCCCCCTACCGAAAAATCTCGGCGTTGTCAGTGTACCCGACCCACAGCGACGCGTTGCAAATGACGAATCCATGACGGTGCCCAGCACGCAGCTGAAGATGTATACAGGCGCAGTTCACTCGAATATTATCAGCTCACCCAGTGAACTAACAAACTCTCCCTCTGCAACTTCCCTAAACCACCCATTCAACTCACGATGTTCGCCCTCCGCTTCGCCTCCCTTTTCCTCCTCGGCACCTCCCTGGCGTCTGCCGTCGTCATTGACACGCGCGCCTCCACCGCCGACGTCGAGACCGTGTTCAACACGCTCAAGTCCTCCACCGACAGCATCCTCCCCCAGATTGGTGCGTCCCTTCACCAACCATCGGCGTACAGTGAACTAACCCATCCACAGACTCGCTCGTCTCTGGCGGAACTGCTACGGACGACACCGTCACTCCCCTCATCGCCGAGCTCACCGCTGCCCTCGACACCGCGACTGCCTCCCTGGGCACGCTCGCACTTGGCGGCCTGAAGCGCCAGTCGGACGACGACGTTGCGAACCTCGTCGCCGGCATCATCTCCGTGCGTGCCCTCCTCCCATTTCTTAAATAATCCTGACGCGGATTTACCTCTCAGGATATCACCAAGACTCTCGACGGCCTGCTCGGCACTGCTTCCACCATCCCCGCACTTGGTGGTCTGCTCGCCGGCGTCGACACCTCGCTCAACCAGGTTTTGCTCGGCCTTGAGATCCTCCTCGCCGGTGTCCTCAACCTCGTTGCTAACCTGTACGTCCCACCGCTAAATACCTTGAACTATACTAATCTTACGCAGGCTTGTCGACGTCGCCGGCCTTCTGCGATCGCTTGCTCTGGGTCTTACCCTCGGCACGCTTGGGCTGTAAATCCCCTATGCTTGAGTACAACATACCACGGACCTTAACTAGATAAAATTGTACAAAATCATCCACGTATCCGTGAAGATGAAAATAATCAATCACTTTGTATGCCCAGTCCCAAACCTTTTTCAGGATTGTAGACTCATCCTGCTGCAACGACTTAAGTAACAACGGGGATATGAACCAGATCCCCAATTCAATGCCATGCACGTACTCATTGAGTTCGTCGACATGAAGATAATTCCATTGCAACCCTGAGCCTTCGTTCGTTAACTGGCATCCGGGTCGTATTGCAACGACTTAACAGCTTCTTGGAACGAAATCAGTGATTCGGTCTGCCTCTGCACTGGTTTCAAAGCATCTGGTTGCCAGCATTTGAGGGATGAAAAGTTCCTTTGAGGGATGAAAAGTTGATTAGCGCAGTGAAGCAGTTCAGACCATGCGGGTCCCCCAGTTGCGCTACATTCATTCTTTGAGCCGAGGTAGCGACCGCTGCGCTTTGGATACTTTGGTGATTGAGTCCGACCGTAGCAGATGCTGAGATCGTAAATGGAAATCCGCTTGCTAAGTTGAATCGCTCAACTGGCGGAAGCCGAACTCGGCACGCAACGTTCCCACGGTTGATGTTGAACTTCGCCCAGTTTCGATGTTGAAAAGAAAAAGAATACTCAACGAGAAATGTTTGGACTGAAATCTTTCAAATGACCGTTATGAACCCACCTCGCAACTGCGAGTGACGAAGTCTACATGACAAGCGGCCCGTCGTGAAAGCTGGATGACATAAAGGGTCGAACTCGATGGAACGCGTTAGAACGATCGGAGACAAGTATAAGTATGGACGAGCGAGGGCGAGGTTAATTGTTTCAACCCACCTCGCAAATGGCCTCCCCCAACACCGGCAACAGCAACAACTTCGAACTCCAACCGTTCAACATCGACCTCTCGAGCAAGGTCCCGCACCTCAAAGACCTCCTCCGTGCGACGCGCCTGCCAGCAAAAGAGCATTACCCGGCACTCGGGCCCGAGAAGGGCATCGAGCTCGACGTTCTCAGTGAGTTGAAGGAGGAGTGGTTGACGAAATATGATTGGGATGCGGAGCAGGCGAGGTTGAACGAGTGAGTTTGATTTTTTGTACGACAAGAAGGATTGCGGACTTACTGGGAAACAGGTTCAAGCACTTCACGGCGGTGATAGAGGGGCAGAAGGTCCATTTCGTACATGAGAAATCGGCGGACGCGCACGCGGTTCCGATCATCTTGCTGCACGGATGGCCGAGTACGTTGCTCTCGAATGACCGCTGCGCAGAATTAATCTTACAAGACTCCGTCAGGCTCTTTCCACGAGTTTACGCACGTAATCAAACCACTCACGGAGTCCTGGACGAACGCGTCGGGGAAGAAAGTCACGTTCAACGTCGTCGTGCCCTCCCTGCCCGGCTTCGTGTTTTCCTCCGCGCCGCCGACCAGCTGGACCACGGACGATACCGCCCGGATCTTCAATACCTTGATGACCGACGTCCTAGGATACCCCAAGTATGCTGTCCACGGTACCGATTGGGTGCGTCTTTCTTGCTTCTCCGTGTATCGCCTTCGCTGTTGACGTCTAGTTTCTTCCAGGGCTGCGTGGTTGGGTATTCGCTCTACAAGAACTTCCCCGCCACCGTCCGCGCGGGGCAGTTCGTCTTCATCCCGTTTATCCCACCCTCGCGCGAGCAGATGACCGCCGAGGGCGTCGCCGTCACGACTGAGATAGAGGTGACGTTAGGGCGGATGATGACTGCGGGGACGACCGGCCTCGGGTTCCGTGATATGCAGACGAACAAGGTGTGTTGTGATGTTTCCTCGATGCCCATTGACTGACGAGCATAGCCTGGCGACGTCGGGCTGTCTTTATACGATAACCCGGTAGGCCAATTGGCGTGGATGGGTGGGAACATCATGCGTTGTGCGTTTCAGCTCCATTTTCCTTCGTGGCATGGAACACTCACCTCAACCACAGGGTCCGATCCACGCGCCGGGACGAGCCCTTCGCAGCTCACCAGTACCGCCCTCCTTACCATGATCTCGCTCTACTACCTCAGCGACTCCTTCCCGTCCTCTCTCCTCATCTACGGCGCCAACCCCGGCGCGTTTGGGGCTGTGTACACTAAGGCGCCGACGGACGCGCCGATGCTGTTCAGTCAGCACAAGTATAATGTCGCGTGCTGGCCGCAGGAGTTCGTTGCAAAGGTTGGAAATTTGGTGTCGTATAAAGGTGTGTTGCTTGTCATAGAGCGCGACAGAGCCTGATTGGACGCTTGAAAGTTCACGAGTTCGGCGGCCATTTCCCCGCGATTGATAACCCGCCTGCGACGATTGCGGATATCCGCGAGGTGGCGGAGCATTGGGAGGTATAATTGTCGCGTGAACCTGTTCTCGAATCCGTCCTTGAGTCGGAATAAAAACGTAACCCATCATCCGTGAGCAGGATTTGTGTCTGAACATCGAAGTGTAGGGGAAGCTCAACGACTTCCTCGAGTGAGACTTGACGGTGAGAATATCAAATGTGAAGTGACGACGTCCCAATCGACATAGCTTGGTAGTCAAACTGCGCAGCTGTTAATGTCCTGGTATATGGAGGGAAAGACCTCAGTCGCGTGGGTACAAGTAGGTTCGGGGATTTGATCGAGGGAGAATGGAAGGTGGCACGGCTGGGGTCCAAGGATCACACGGCGTAAGGCACACATGTTTTGAATTGAAGTATGGTTCTTGTGGGACGCGGAGCGAGAGCTAAAAGCTGTAATCAGACCTGGATTCGAAACGATACGAAAGATTGCCATCCCGCCAACATCCCGGCGGCGCCCGCCTGGAGTCTTGGAGGAACCTCGGAATATGTACGCCTTTACATCTTCAGGTGCGAGGAAAAGCCAAGGAGATTTTGAGCCTTCCCCGGTACTCTATGCATATGGGCCGTGCGCAGATGGTGACGGTCGAGGAAAGAGCAGAGATCAAGTTTGGTCATGCTTTCCATCACTGGTTCCGGAAGGACCCATTTGGAAACTCCCTCGCCCTATCATTATGGCGCCACTATCTCCGCCGCCTTCACAGCATTAATGGGGTAGTGGTAACCTGGGTCGTTGCCAAACAATGAATTGAATCATTCAATTCGACCCGCCGGGGGTTCGATTCCCTCTTAATGCATTATATCCTCGGTCGATGTTTTTTTGCTGGTTTTGCCTCGCGTGCCCTCGCGGACAGTTGTTGGCGCCAACGCACTTTTTGACCCCCCTAGAGAACCGTGAACGCGGTGAAAGCAAGTTCGCTACGTTTTTTTAGCTAAACGACGTCGTCGTTGGCAATATTAAGGGACAAAATCTAACATGAAGAAAAAATATTATGAGACACCATAACAATGGCGTGGATACAACAAGTCTCGGCGTAAGTGAAGGAGTGGATATTTGTTCTGTTGAATGCGAAAATGCAGTGGTAAGCAGTACTAGTCGTAGTTGAACCAAGATGTCATTTGGCTCCATCCGTGTCGTTTTGGCCGAATGTCTTTTCTACATCTATGCTGTATCTGATTTTCCGTCCGTTTTGCCGGATGGACTGTCCGTGCCGCAACCTCCATTAGTTATCTCTCAAACACACCCCAATTCCTGCAGGCGAACATGAGGAACAAAGTAAACATAGGGGGGGGGATATTCCTAACCTGGAGTTTCGAATAAAATACGACTCACATCGGTCTCGTCTCTATCTGGGCTTCGGACGATGGATATTCTCTACCCTGGAGGTAACCTGCACTGAATACACGCTCGCAAATGGCGGCGAAGAAGATTAGCAGGTCTGTTTGGCGTTTGTGCCTTTCATTCTAGCCCGATCGGCGATGGCCGTACAAAAACTGGGGGGATATGTATTGTGAAGTTTCAACCAGACGCGTAATTTTTTTGTTGGGTGTCGGGTTTCGGGTTTGTGATGGAAGATCGTGGGACCGATCACTAGTCACAACTGCCCTTCTCCGCGACCACCACGACCATTTTCGCGACAAGATGCACTATTGCTTGAAGATACCTGAAATTGTGGACTCTGTATGCGACTATCTTGACCCCGAGATTGGGGCCCAGTGGAGTCCAGTGGGAGGCCTCCGCGACCTCGCTATGTTATCGAGAACGTGCAGGCTGTTTGAAGGTCCTGCCCAGGATCACCTTTGGCGGAAGACGGCGCTCGGAACCTTCCTCTTGGCTTGTATGCCCTCGGACTTATGGTTTCTCCAGCCGCCTATTGCCTCTTGGACCCCACCAGAGATGGTGAGTGCGACTTATTGAAGGGATGTGAAAGAACTGAAATCATGTTTAGCGTTTACTTCGTCCCATTTGCGATTCGGATTGGGACCGAATTCGATTCCACGCACCCCGAGTGAGGCATCTTTCCTCCGCTTCGACAAAGGCGTCCGTGTTGGGCATCCTACCCGCACTCAATGTGTCGCTCCCGCAACCGCTTTTCACAAACCTGCGAAATCTCATGTGGGACTTTGTGGACCCCCACGGATTTCCTTATATCCGACTCTTCATCACTCCAACCCTGGAATCACTCTCATTCGAGCTGAATTCCCATTCGGCGGCGTCGTTGTTACCGACACTGGCGACACAATGTCCCAAATTAACGAAGCTGTCCGTGACCTCGGCGCCGGAATATGAATCCCCAGGTATCTCAGACCTGGTAGTTGCTTTGCGGACTTTATCTAAAATCGTGGTTCCCTCGTTGAATTGGGTTGCTCTGGAGCATCTCTCTCGCCGTCAACCTCTCAAATCCTTACATCTCGACTCTTTGCCGACTGGCCCGATGGCCCCGGCGCTGCCTGCAATGGCGAGATTCCCTGCCCTCCATACGCTGCACCTCGGTTGTCCCGGGATCCTCCCCACCACAGCCTTTCTGAACCTCTGCCTCGCGATCCCCCTGGCCGCCTTCTCCGTCTTTTTTTATGACCTCGTCACGGCGGCTGAAATGCACGACTTATTCGTCGCCCTCTCCGCGGGGGTTGTTCACGACTCTCTCGAGGAACTCTTCATCAGGAATGACTGCATAGACTATGTCGATGTCGCTCCAGAGTCCGCCACTCATCTTATTCCCCACCGCGACCTTCGGCTCCTCCAATCCTTCACCAACCTCACTAGCCTTTCCATCGCATCGTCGATCGGATTTATGTTGGACGATGCAGCCCTGGATGAATTGTTGGCCGCATGGCCGCACTTGACGTCCTTCAGCCTGAGGGCGTGTTTCCCTACCCACCAACCGAGCACGACGCTCGCTGGACTGCGCTCCTTCGCCAGGCACTGTCCGCGGTTGACCGATCTGTTGATTGCGCTCGACGCTCGCATCGTCCCAGCCCTCGATCTGCGCGATAGTTCCCACGCATTGGTGCGACAACAGCAGCTTGTGCAACTCCACGTGGTGCACTCGCCCGTGACCGCCCCAGCGCTCGCTGTCGCGCGTTTTATTTCCGCGCTGTTCCCGAACCTCAAGACGGTCCCAACGGTGCGGGAATATGTCGACAACGACGAGGATGACGAGGACGACGCGACCGTGCGCGATGCCATCCGATCTCATCTTCGTTGGAAGGAAGTAGAAGCATTTTTGCCCGAAATCGCTGCGATTCGGGAGGAGGGCTTAGCGTTCGGAGCGCAGTAGCTTGTGAGTGGATTATTTTTTACCTCGCCATTTGACTCTCCCTGAACCTCCACAGAGTCACAGATCCTCTATGCGTTTTCGACGTCGACGAAGTTGACTCGAGGAACAGAATGGTGCTCTTCGTTTATTGTGTAAACTCGCAGAGATTGTAGGGTCGATCAATCGAGCAACTCAAAATTCCAACTGGGGCGGCATTGCCTTCCATCTTCCGCGATGGCCTGAAACAGACCTGAAACGACGTTGGGCACACGGGTGGCAAGTCCCGCATGAACTTCGGGCACCTGCATGTTTTTCGAGGATTGCGGGCTGAGCATCTCGGAGAATGGAGCGAGATGTAATGACGAAGCAGTCGGTTGAGTGGACGCGCGCAGACCGAACCTCAAGAAATTGGATTCATCGACTAAATTGAGTACAAGACTAGGTCCTTGCATCCCGACCGCATGCCATACTAATTCCACCGGTCTCCGACACTGTTCACCGCATTACAAGTCCATAGTATTGGATGCCAGCCAGGTAAGTTCTCACAGTGTAGCACTGGCTAACATGTCTTGAACCATTTCCGCCTTTTGACGGTTGCGCTTTTTCCAGTTGAACTCGCGTCGTTGAAATGTAACATGAAGAAAGACATCGTAAAACAACATAACAAGGACATGGATACAAGAATTTCTGGGCGTAAGTGAAGGAGTGGATGTTTGTTCCGTGAAATGCGAATGAAAAAATGCAGTGAGTAGTACTAGGAGTCGTAGTTGAACCAAGATATGAATGCGCAGGGATGTCGTTCGTTGTCCATAAGACTCGCTCGTTCATTCTTCCTGCCGGTGGCGCCTCAAAATCGCGCGCAACGCCCGTAACCGCGCCACGAACCGCCCCCACCACGCCCCCGACCTCCTCAGCCTCGCGCGGAGCGGCACCCGCGCCCCCGCATCACTGAGGGAGTGCGTGCGCGAGCGCGAGCGCGGCGTCGACGGCTCGGGCTCGTTGTCGCACGAGTACACCGACGGTGCAGAGGCCGCGGCGCCGGGGAGGATGCCGACGTTGAACCACGTCATTCCGCCGGGGACGAGGCCCAGCCCCTGGTCGACCGCCGCGTGCAGCGACTCAAGCCCGAGGTCGGTTTCGTCTGGGGCGTCGTCGTCGGCCTCTTGCGGATTTGCGGAGGGCGTGAGTGGGAGGGGCGGGTGTGTGTGCGTGTGGGAGCTGGGGTTGGGGTTGGGAACGAGGCGCGGGAGCGTCGGCGTCGGGGGCTCTTCGGGCGTACGGAGCAGCTCTTCCGCGGACTCGTAGTGGTTGTGCGTCTCGGACGACAGCTCGGGCGTCGACGTCGACGCGGTGGCAGAGACCGGCGACGCGAGCACCTGCTGCGTCGACGTCGCCCATTCTGCGGACGAATTGATATCCACGCCCTCGAGCTTGATCTTCGCGCTCTCCGGGAGCGGCTCGAGGCTGACGGTCGACCGGCGATGCCGCTCGGACACCGACGCAGAGGAAGGGTAGGGGTGGGACTTGTGCAGCAGCGGCGGGGAGATATAATTCCACTCCGCCAGCGGGGAGATGGAGCGGTTGGACGCGAGGGGTGAGAGGGAGTCCAGCGAGGTGGAGCGCACGGTGGAGAAGAGGACGCCGTCTTCGCCGACCTCGTCGCCGCCCGCGCCGTTCCCGCCCCACTCGGAGCGCCGTTTGTGGTCGATGGGCGTGCCGCGCCCGACATAGCGCGAGAGCGGCCACGAGCTGGCGGTGGTGCTCGCGGCGGGCCCGGTGAGGGAGATGCGCGGGGAGGTGCTGAGACGGGGCGTCGACGACGCGCGGCCCAGGCTCGGTGTGGGGCCCGTGGTGAAGGACACCGAGCGGCGAGAGGAGGCGGGCGGGCTGGAGGGGAGGTAGGAGGAGAATGGCGAGTCGGACGGCGGGGGAGGTGAGGGCGGCGGGGAGAGCGGGCTGGAAAGACACGTCAAGTCCAGCTTGAAGTCCGAGAACCCGTCGGCGCTGAAGGACGTAACGTCGAGTGTCGCGTCCATATCATCGCCCACGCACGACGAGTACGAGGTGAATCGGGAGAGGGAGCGCGAGTCGCTGTTGCTCGGGGAGTCGAGCACCGTTGGGAAGGCTTCAGGCCTGCCAGCGAGAAACAATACAAAGTCAGTCTGGCATCATCGTCGAACGAGGAGCGAGAAGAAGACGGCCAGCACGTACATCGTTATTTATTATCTGGTGAATAATTGCAACCTTCCAGGAGATGGTGGGGCAGACAAGGAGACGACTTTGTTTTTTCCTTGCTTGGAGGAGGAGGAGGAAGACGCTGCGAGCAGAGTAACGGCGCACCCCAGATCCGGCCACGGACGCTCGGATTTTATTTTAGTTGATGCTCTCACACTACCCCGCTGTTACGTGCGGCCCAGAGACTTCCTTGCGTCACAGACGGGGACACGTAGGAGTAAGACGTCGAGCAAAGCATTAAATACTCGCGGCGTGAAGGGTGGGCGAGTCCATGGAGCACAGACAGACATCCTCCAGCATGG